GGGGGGGGGTTGAATTGTGGAATTGCATTTTTCCATATACCCCCCGCGAAGATTCCCAGTAACCGCAGCCACAAAAGAAGTTACATAACAAACACTTAAAGGTCTGTAATAGTTGCAGGCGAGTAAATATTATTGTTGGTACACATATGCATGCTATTCGCAGAGGCAGGCTTTGATTGGGGTTTTGAAGTATGATACAAACCTGCTCCAGTCGGTCCTGCAGGATCTTAAAGGATTGAGACAGGTCCCGCGTCTGACGCCAAGTCCACGCCGTGAACAGCGCGCTGCATGCGGCCAGAGACAGAGCCACCAGGGCCAGAGAAGCCCAGAAGACCCGCAGCTTGCGCACTCGCCTCCTCTGCAGAATCCGATGCATATTGGTGCAGACTGCACTGCTACTCACCGCCGCAGACCATCCGAAAACCCCCGCTTCAACTCCATTCCAGCAGAGCATGAAGTCCCTCCAAATGCATATCTGTCCAAATGTCCATTTTGGTGAGAAAAGACGCGCGAGTGGACAGCCGACAACAACTACAACACCCTTTGCTTTTCAGACGCGCGGACCTTTCTGTTTAATATTATCTGACAGATGAGATTTTTAAAGCAACAAAACATCCGATCCTTCCTCCACACAGATCAAAGCCACCATCCTCCGTGTGTGCGGGCCGTCTCCAAATACAAGAAAACTGTGCAACTTGCGCACATCAACTGTTGCATCCTTCTCCTTGTGATTCGTTGACTCAGCTCTCTTGTCTTCCCTTTAAACAGCGTGCTGGGGGGTCACTCTATTAGACAGACAGACTGAGCACACACCAGAGCTTGAGTTCACACACACACACGCGTGCGCGCACAGACTTGGAGGTGCGTCCTCGGCGAGCTCTGATGTTGTGACACCAGTGCGCATCCGCAGTAAAAGATCAACGAGGTGCATCACAGAGATAGAGATAGAACCGGGGCTTCCTCCGCTTCTCAAGTCACTTTCATCAACTTGCATGACTTGAAAATATGTGCCATTCATGCGTGTTAGAGTTCCGTTCGTGACCACACGGTGGCTGTAGAGTACAGGTGGAGACACAGCAGCCTGCTCTGCTGCGGGTGATGTGCGTACTGTATGTACAGACAGTGTGCCATCAACAGGTGAGCCAAAGACTGATCCCAATGGCTAATTTCTTAATCTAAAATACAGTTATCCAATGATACATTATCAATAAATTAATCATTCAACCCCACAAAATATAGCATTTGTAAAATAATCTAAGTGTTGTAATGTTTTTATTGCTTTGGGAGCCAAATTAAATTAATTTAAAAGTCATACTAGGAGTTCAAAGTGGAAAATCTTGTGGCCTGAAGGTCATGTGATGTCTCTAAAACAGTAGTTTCCCAGCCTCTTCTGCTTGTAACCCCTTGTGAGGGGTTGCATGTCATTGAGTTGTAACCAGTTCCAGTGAATTTCCCTTCTCAGATGGTTTCATTTGAATAGGTATAAAGATCTAAGAATCAAACATAATTTACTTTCTGTACAGATTTCTTTAATAGTTATAGTTAACATAGTAATTAGTACAGTCATTTCTTTCTCCTTTTGTTCATATAGAACACATACTGTATGTTTGTTTTACTTCATTTTTCTATGTATGTGTCTTTTATTTTACAATATATAAATAGCACATATAGTGAATATAGTGTATCTTACTTTATTTGAACAATTTATTGGGATTTAAGGGACAGGTTGTTAGTAGAAACCATAGATATGGATACAGCTACACATTCACACAAGCCATCACTATTTAAATGCAGTCTGATGGGTTTTATTCCACAAACACAGCAGTCAAACAGGTAGTCGAGTAGTAACAGTAAAACACACTCTGGGTTTTCAAGGATGGGTGACAACAGGAAGCCTAAAATACTTTTATGAAACCAGTATTTGACTCTCATGCAGGTTCTGGGCTTAAATGTGACATGGCTTTCTAGGATTTCTAGCACAGCAAAATGACACTAAACTGTGGACGGTGTTATGTCATGGTCACATAATCCAGCATTTCCCTGGTCATGTTAAAAACCTATGAATCCATTTTTAGTGGTTTTCATCTTTCGTTTGAGGAATTTATTGCTCGTTTCTGGGTTTAGGGGATTTAATTGATCATATGAAGCCCTTTAAAAACTCACTGGATTAACTCTAAAATGCATGGCGTTTCCGAATAGGTGACTTTTTGGATTCATAAGGTTTCAATGACCACTTTTATTTTCAACCATTTCAGACATGCGAACACATACAAACTTGTGCCTCTGCTGGCAGAAAACATCAATGACTGCACAAACTCCATATTGAACACACTGGGTATATCTTACCATGTGAGTGGTGCACTAGGGGAACACACTTAGGCCCTTCCTGACAACTAAACCGCCCCAAAGTTGTGAAAATGAGCTCAGTACATCTCCATGGTTGTCTTTTCTACTCATACTGATACACTGTGTAGTAATCACATACACATCCTGCTCACTACAGACTGAATTAACATTTCAAACATTTAACTGCAGTGTTTACTCGTCTTTTGCATGAAAAAAAAAATACTCCTAAAAGTCTGATTTATTGCAAAGATGTGACAGAAATCCGAGTTGAACTTTGATTTGATTTTGAAACAGTTTGAGGAATCCATGCTGGGAACAAGTATAATTTATAGCTCTGGCTCTGGCATTCGGATGGGAAGTTGCAGGTTATAAATATCTCTTCACCTTTGGACTCTATATTGATTTTTGGGGCTCATGTGCTCTCTAATAGCAATAACAGCATATTGAATGTACTTTTCCACACAAATGAAGTCTGTAGATTTTGCACGTCGAAGCATACATGAATATTTCATTAACCAATGTCCCACGGATAAAAAAAAAAATACACATTCTTCACTCAATTATTTTGTAAACAAAGTATGAAAAGAAATGCAAATTGCAAAAGCTACAAAGGAGGGTCAGTGGTTCTTACTTGTTTAGAGTGGGAGAAAACAAACTAAATATAACCCACAACTCAGACTGTTTTCATTAAATTGCTGGACAAGATACAAAAAGCTCCCTTTAAAAAAAGAAAAGGAAAAAAAGAGTAGAACTGGATTTGAAACTGTGGTGCAGACCAGAATTATGCCCCTTTCGTTTTAGCAGGACAGGTTCAAATACAGTACCTGAGCCCAGTCCAAGACTTTTATTTTTTAAAATCCACCAGATGGATTGTTTTTTTCTGATTCTAGGCTTCATACATTTTCGTTTTTTAAACCAGCCCCGAGGGTTTGTTGTTTGGCTGCAAGGAAGTTGGTTTATATTTAATCCAACTTATTCCTTTACTTCACAATTTCATCACAACACCTTTGTACATTCATACAGAAGCTTAAATGGAGGAAAAACAGTGCAAATACCAACATTGTGCTTGACAACAGCTTTACAGTACTCCTCATCTGGAAGACGAGGGGAGAGGTGACTGACTCTTTGGTTGCTGTTGTCATAGTTTATCACGGATTTAAAGGGATAAGATACCAAAAACTCGCTCTTTTCCCAACAGTCGTACAATGAAACATCTTGGCTTTTGAAATGCATAAAGTATTTCTGTGCAAAAAATGGCTTCATTTCTAGATGATGATTACTGTATGTTAAGACTTTCTCTAAAAATCCCACAACAGCACACACATGCACACTCCTGTTAGTCCTTTCTCATGCCCCATATATTCTACATTTGTTCACACTCTAAGCAGAGAGGTTAGGTTATCTGATCCATTTAACACCGAAATCAAAAGGTGCTCTAGGTCATTAACATATTACAAGGGAAAAACACAATACACAGATTTCAGTGCCTCGGTTATGTACTATTTAAATGTATTGCATTGGCCCCATTCCAATACTTAAAACTGCATCCTCGCCCCTTAATAATAAGCCAACTGACTGTTTGTTAAACCCCTTTCGAACCATAACAAGGCACAGCAGGTAGATGTTGAAGCGATGTGCGTGGGGCTACAGTATGAAGGATACCTCGTACATATAGAGTTTGGAGGGTTTCTTTTTAAAACACCACAGGAAAATGGTCAGGAATGCATTAACAGTATTTGTCTGCTCTAATGAAAGCTGTGAACGTTAGCATGCCTGCTAACTGGCTTACAACCAGCAGTAACTGAGCATTACTTTCAAAACCAAGGAGCATATAATTAGAGTTTAGGCTTATGTTAGTGGTTGTGTCCGGTTCATAATTGGATTTTGGAAAGCTTTGACTCCAGCAACTCAAGCCAATTCACTATACAAAACAGCTTTGTGTTTGTTAAACACCTCAGTATAAGTCCACTATCTAAAAAACTTTTTACTTGTAAAAACTTAGAAAATGCAAACAGTAAAAAAAAAAA